TTTTAACTCCAATGGTACGTAACCTAGGGATAAACGTCATATACAGTATTGCTATAAAATTGATAATGATAATAATGTTTATTAATTATATGTTATTAAAATTCATATGTTTACCTCTATTGCCGATCTTACAAAAGACGTATATATAGAACAATTTCTTTTTTGATAATCGCCTTAATTTAATTTTTTTTTAGCATATCTTCATTTAAACATATATTTTTGGTAAGTGATCAAATCAACAGCATGGCTTTATTTTATCTAATGTACCTTATCCATAAGGGTGGCTCTGGGAACTTTATAGAGTCGAGAAGCTTCCCTCACGGAAATCTCCCCCAACGAAACTCTTTGTACAGCATTGACCATAGCCTCCTGGTCATACCCACGTCTGTAACTTCCTCTCACTGGAGCCATCGCTCCTGTTCTAATGACCTGTTCAGCGCAATTCACTTCCTCAGCTATAGGGAGATCAGGGCTTGGAGCCATCTCTCTTGTTCTAATGACCTGTTCAGCGCAATTTGCTTCCTCAGCTATAGGGAGCTTAGGGCTCGGTCCACTACGGCAATTAAGCGGAACCCTATTGGCCAACTAAAAAGAAATATAAACAAAAAGACATTAGTTGTGGTAGAATAACATATAATCAATATAATACAGCTACAAAGCTCTGGAACAAAAGGCCCCCTCCATATGATTTGATTTGATTACAATTTATTTCCATATTTCACAAATAAATTTAAACAAGTAATTATACAAACAAACATTACATTAAAAAACGAAATACAATTAAATGAATATATATTGTCACTATTAGAAGATCAATTTAAACAGAGAACAACTTTCGTGAAACCATTAATACAATCATCTATCAAGCACTGTCACTCTGATATTCTTATTTTAACTCCAATAGTAACCTAGGGATAAACATCATACAGGTATACAGTATACATATAATAAACATCAGTGAGGGCATTAGTAAGAATTACCCACACAAGGTACCCTTGGAACACTCTAACGTTTGGACTGTTTAGAAGGTACCAAGTGTGGGTAAATTTACTAATGCCCAAACAAAATGATGTGTATTATTTGTTTTATAAGATGTATGTTTCATTTGTTTTATAAAATGATGTTTTCTAACATGATTTTGATAATGACCGGTCATTACCCAAATTACGCACGGTTACCCGTTAGGCAAAATAAATGCCTGGTCACGTGTACGCTTTCAGCCAATCATTTGATTAGGATCTATGTTATCATCTTATAATATTGCAATAAAATTGATAAAGATAATAATGTTTATTAATTATATATTATTAAAATTCATACGTAGACCTCTATTGCCAATCTTACAAAAGACGTATATAGAATAATTTTTTTTTTGACAATCACCTTAATTGTTTTTTTTCTTTTTTTCCCTTGTTCAGCGCTGTTCCCTTTCTCAGCTATAGGGAGCTTAGGGCTCGGTCCACTACGGCAATTAAGCGGAACCCTATTGGCCAACTAAAAGGAAAATAAAAACAAAAATACATTAGCTGTGGTGGTAGAATAACATATAATCAGTATAACACTGCTACAAAGCTCTGGAACAAAAGGCCCCCTCCATTTTGTCACCATTAGAAGATCAATTAAAACAGAAGAAATTTAGTGAAACCATTAATACAATTATCTATCAAGCAATGTCACTCTGATATTCTTATTCTAACTCCAATGGTACGTAACCTAGGGATAAACGTCATATACAGTATTGCTATAAAATTGATAATGATAATAATGTTTATTAATTATATATTATTAAAAATTCATTTGAGACCTCTATTGTCAATCTTACAAAAGACGTATATAGAGAACAATTTTTTTTTCGATAATCGCCTTAATTGTTTTTTTCTGCATATCTTCATTTAAAAATAAATATTTTGGATAAACGATCAAATCAACTGCATGGCTTTATTTAATTTAATGTACCTTATCCATAAGGGTGGCTCTGGGAACTTTATAGAGTCGAGAAGCTTCCCTCATGGAAATCTCCCCTAACTTGACTCTTTGTACAGCATTTTCCATAACCTCCTGGTCATACCCACGTCTGTAACTTCCTCTCACTGGAGCCATCGCTCTTGTTCTAATGACCCGTTTAGCGCAATTCGCTTCATCAGCTATAGGAAGCTTAGGGCTTGGTCCACTACGGCAATTAAGCGGAACCCTATTGGCCAACTAAAAAGAAAATATAAACAAAAAGACATTAGTCGTGGTGGTAGTAGTAGCTGTCTGTCGCGAAGCGACAATGACTGCCTTCATTTTCAATTTACAGCTGTTCTCCATACAGCTCGCTGGCCTGCAGCAATTGTCCAAGTCTTGATTTCAATTTGCCTCCGCTTAAGGTTCCGCTTGATCGTGGTGATAGAATAATATATAATCAATATAACACTGCTACAAAGCTCTGGAAAAAAGGCTCACCTCCATATAGTCACCATTAGAAGATTAATTCAAACGGAAAAGAACTTTAGTGAAACCATTTATACAATCATCTATCAAGCACTATCACTCTGATATTCTTATTTTAACTCCAATGGTAACCTAAGGAAAGACGTATATGTATATAGAATAAATTCTTTTTTTTTAAATCGCCTTAATTGTTTCTTTTTGCATATCTTCATTTAAATGTATATTTTTGGTAAGTGATCAAATCAACTGCATGGCTTTATTTCATCTAATGTACCTTATCCATAAGGGTGGCTCTGGGAACTTTATAGAGTCGAGAAGCTTCCCTTGTGGAAACCTCCCCCAACTTGACTCTTTGTATGGCATTTTCCATAGCCTCCTGGTCATACCCACGTCTGTAACTTCCTCTCACTGGAGCCATCTCTCTTGTTCTAAAAAAAGAAAAGAAGAAGAGGATAAATTTAATTTTATCTAGAGTCCGATAAAAGCATACAAAAGTATGTTATCAGAGTATTCAAAGTAAAATTTCTGTGTGAACTTTTCAATCTTTTTCCTAATGTCATCCCTTCTTTCATTATCATCATCACCTTTTTTCATTGTCATCGTCATCTTCATCACTGCTGTCATCTTTTTTCTCATTATCATCTTCATTTTAGACCCTAGATCTAGACTATTTATTTATAATTTATTCTTTTTATCATTTCAAATATTTTCTTTACACCATCTCATTTGTCTTTGCTCTCCTCATCTTAATTTGCGTCTTAGCAGTGAGTCAGTTGTGCGAATTTGGCATCTTACGTTGCGTGGCCGAAAACTCCAGCTGCTGCCCACTTGTAACAAGCTGGAATTTCAATAGCTCGCACACACAAATTTAGGCTTCAGTTGCAAAATGGTTGCGATAGACAGAGGACTGTAGCCCAAGAGCTCCAGTTTACGAGAGATTTTACCGTAAATACAATGAATTAAAGAATAAGCGAGGTCTAGATATTTAAGTTCCTATCGTCTTTATAGCTGCACACGTAAGAAAGCTATAAATTGGACTCGACGTCCAATAGAATATGTCAAGTTTTAAAGGAAAATTAGGAGCAGATGTACTTACGTGTGAACACCAAATCTTTGCAGCTTTGGTACCTGGGGCTATTGCTATGCAGTACCTGTGAATTTCTCTTCAAGCACGAGCGAAGTAGCGAATTTAGAAAACGAGAAGTGCTGAAGTGGCGGAAAACTCCCTCCTTTACTCTAGTAAATCATCTCCATTTAGCAAGGATTAAGTAGGCAAAATAAAATATAATAAATGAGAAATGATATTTACCCTGTAATTAAAAACAAAACATATGATGACATATAATATACCAACAAATCATTATGATTAATCGAATAAATAAATAGTCTAGGTCTTTTACTTTTAAAGATTTTTACTTTTGAGGCACTTCTTGGTCATTTTGAAGAGCAATTTTTTGGAGCTTTAATATTACACTATACGACAGACACTGAGAACACGCACATGTAGGGCTATGCATCTCAGATTTAACATTGTTAAATGATCGATGCCTTTAAAGGTAATACAAAGTTTTGGTATGGGGTCATGAATTTGGTTCAATGCAATCCTGCAATATTAAGTGATCGTTGTCGCGGTTGAAAACGAGTCTAAAGTTTTGAAATTGTAAATTTAAAACTCTGTAGGGTCTATGTGGCATTGTGGCTCCCTCTCAAGGTTAAGATATTAAGTATAACACAATGCTTCTTGACTAAAATTGACCGATTAGCTATTCCCGCTTGGAAATTATATATCAAAACTACATATTCTGAGATTTTCATGGTCGCAGCTAACATCGTACGGCCGTAGGCACTATTTGAAATTAATCAACATTTATTTAGATTTACCGGGAGCACCAGTAAATTTTTATACCGGTATTCAATTTTTCTCGAAAGCAGAAGTGTTTTACTTTTAGGGGCTAATTTGTTAGTGTTTATAAATACATCCACAGGGCCATCCAAATATATCAAAATGGTAAAGAATCACTATCCACCCAATTTTCAAAATTTCCCAAAATTTTGTAGATCTAGATTCTAACTTTAGAACTCTAGATGCTAGACCTTTTCAATTGGTTTTTCAACATTTCATTTGGACATTATTTTTTAATTTTGATGCTCTTTCAGAAAAGGAAGAAAAAAATATCTAAAAATAGATTTTTTGACGTCACAGCTTCGGTACTCTATAGAGAGTCAATGCTAATGCGTATTGACTTAGGCTTAACTTTAGCCTAGGCCTTAATGCCTAGCCTTGGCTTTGAGTTTGAAGCTTTGGCTCAAGCTCAATGCAGATGTAGTGTAGCATGCAGCGCGCAGCGGAGCTGAGTCACACAGATGTCTGCACGTGGGGCAATGCATTAATACTCACGATTCACGGTGATGGTTTTCATATCGTCATTCGCGATTAGAAAAGCCAAGGAATCACTCAAAATTGATTTACAGCTCTGACATTGGAATACAACAGGCAATTCTTCACTGCGAACGTTGGTATCATCTACGGAATCTTTCAAGACATTCATCTTCGTCCCTTGTTTTGAAATTCGAAGCGTGTCGGGCAGTTAATGAATATTCATGAAAGCACATATGACGTCACATTCTGCACAATGATTGAATCAAGACGGCAGTGTCGACGGAGGAAAAATATCAAATTATTCAACAAACCGAGTAAGCAAAGCTCTTTTTAAGATTCATTCGAAATCTATAGTTACATTTGAAGTTTATGATAGTGAAAAAGCTAGTCTTAGCACTTGATAAGTACTTGTTATCAGCTGTGAGCTGAGAGCGTGTGCGGCGTGTACGTGAATATTTGCAGACAGAGGGTACTTGTGACAGTCAACGCTCGCCGACCGTCTGGCCCAGCTGACCGCTGAATTAGGCTCAGCTCGGCCGGGCCGGGACCGGTACATTGCATGCATGGCAGCTTCGGCGCATCATTGACATATCAATTTATCATGACACTGTACTTGTCACTCTTTCTAAACATCAGCGCCTCCACTTCTTCTTCGGGAAAAGTGCATCCTTCATTGTTGAAGACCAAGACAACAAACTGCTCAATCAATGGCACAGGACAAGAAATACCGTACAGTAACCATATCATTAGACCGAAAGCTTCAGTCTCTCTAATCGTCGGTTGTTCCACTGAGACTACGTCTGGCTCCACTAGACCTCCGATTATAGAGACTGAAGTCTGGGGACCTCTTTCTGTGAGGCACTGTACGGAACAAATGGTTCGGTTCGACCGGACCGCGATGAATGAGATATGCAACGAGATTTTCACTCTTTACATCCTCATAACTGCTGCAATTAGATCTATAACACAAATTAAAAATAACATGTATATAGCTTTGCCTTGCTCATTTAGATCCTAAATTAATGATTAATCCGAGAAAGTCTCGTAGTCAACATTATCCGTCTTGGTGTTAGTTGATGAATATTCATTTTTTCTTTTCGAACGTCCAATAGCTACCGTAGCTACGTACGAGTAAGCCCAGCTTGACCAACGAACTCCCACAAAACGAGTGCTCTGATTGGCCATTTGGCTATGTTTTGGTAGGTTGACCCGGAAATATTTTGGCCGCCGGGTCATATAGCCCTATGTTCCGAGTGCATGAACGTTCGGAGATACAAATTGGATAATTCATATAAGTCCGTAAATTATCCATTGAATATTGAGTTATCAAATTTTGATAACTGTAATTAGGACAAATGACATACCGACCTAATTTACATCTGATTTAGAAATCAGGAAATTAGATCTAAATAAAGAAAATCGGGGAGAAAATGTCGTGGATGAAAATATGCACGTATAGGCCTATAGCCACCCCCACCGTACGAGATCTCTGGGTTGCCATCTGTATTGGGGAATGACAACAAATGTCAGTTTTATTAAAGAAATGACCCAAATCAGATGGTTATTGCTGTCTACCATATCATATGAAATTGATAATGATTATTAAACAAGTTCATCTTATCTCTAAGTCTGACCTGAGTTGACTCTGCGCGGATCTGCTGGACCTACTAAATATCAAATGTTGATTCTATGATTATGATAGACTAAGTAATATTAATAATCCGTAATCCGTAAATATAGGTCTATATGTTCTCTCAGTTTCGATTGGCATTGATTAAAATCCCTAACTTCAAGAATAGGCTTTGCCTGGCCATGGCCAAATGTGTCAAAATACCCCAAATCAGGCTTGGCAGATCATTGTACAAAAATATATAGTCGTTTATGTATTGAATTATGAAAGTTGACACAGAACTATTATAGGCCCTATATGTATAACTCTCTTTTCTACATCATCTTCTTTCCCATTCTTCTTTCTCCATCACATTCTTTCCCCATCTTCTTTCTCTTTCATCTTTCTCCATTCCCTATCAACCATCTTCTTTCTCCATCACATCTTTTCCCCATCATCTTCTTTCTATGTCATCTATCTCCCATCTTCTTTTTCCGTTGATAATCTTTATCCATCATCTCTTTCCTCCATCATCTCCTTTCCCTATCAATCATCTTCTATCTCCATCACATCTTTTCCCTATCATCTTCTTTCTTTCCCCATCTTGTTTCTCCCTTGATTATCTTTATCCACCATCTTCTTTCTCTGTCATCTTCTTTCTCTGTCATCTTCTCTTATCTTCTGTTATCATCTTCTTTCTCCATCTACTCTTTTCCCCATCATCTTATCTTCCCATCATCTTCTTTCTCCATCATCTTCTTTCTCCACCATCTTCTTTCTCCATCTTCTTTTTCCACCATCTTCTTTCTCCACCATCTTCTTTCTCTGTCATCTTCTTTCTCTGTCATCTTCTTTCATCTTCTTTTATCATCTTCTTTCTCCATACTCTTTTCCCCATCATCTTATCTCCCCATCATCTTCTTTCTCCATCATCTTCTTTCTCCATCTTCTTTCTCCACCATCTTCTTTCTCCACCATCTTCTTTCTCCACCATCTTCTTTCTCTGTCATCTTCTCTCATCTTCTTTTATCATCTTCTTTCTCCATCTACTCTTTTCCCCATCATCTTATCTCCCCATCATCTTCTTTCTCCATCATCTTCTTTCTCCATCTTCTTTCTCCACCATCTTCTTTCTCCACCATCTTCTTTCTCCACCATCTTCTTTCTCTGTCATCTTCTCTCATCTTCTTTTATCATCTTCTTTCTCCATACTCTTTTCCCCATCATCTTCTTTCTCCATCATCTTCTTTCTCCATCTTCTTTCTCCACCATCTTCTTTCTCCACCATCTTCTTTCTCCACCATCTTCTTTCTCCACCATCTTCTTTCTCCACCATCTTCTTTCTCCACCATCTTCTTTCTCTGTCATCTTCTTTCATCTTCTTTTATCATCTTCTTTCTCCATCTACTCTTTTCTCCATCATCTTCTTTCTCCATCATCTTCTTTCTCCATCATCTTCTTTCATCATTATCTTCTTTTCCTGTCAATCATCTTTCTCCGTCATCTCCTTTCCCTACCAATCATCTTCTTTCTCCATCACATATTTTCCCCATCATCTTCTTTCTCCGTTGATAATCTTTATCCATCATCTCTTTCCTCCGTCTTCTTTCTGTCATCTTCTTTCATCTTCTTTTATCACCTTCTTTCTCCTTCTACTCTTTTTCCCATCATCTTATTTCCCCATCTTATTTCCCCGTCATCTTCTTTCCCCATCTTATTTCCCCATCATCTCCTTTTTCATCTTCTTTCTCCATCAAGCATTTTTTTCCATTGAAATTTTGAAATTTGAAATTTATTTGATTTCCAGGTACAATGTACATGTATAAACAAAATAGAAATGACAACACAGAGCATATAACATTAAGAGTTACAAGACGGCGAAAAAGCCACCCGCGGACGCCTGAGGATTACCTAAAAGAATTTCCATTCTGTCATGAGGTTCTCCACATCCACTGGTGTTACATATAAATAGATTTAAGAAGTAACGGTAAAATAACATAACATAATTCAAGTTCATCCATCAGGCATAATAACTAATAGAATGATTGCATGTATGTTGTTCTTTAACTATCATCTCTTTTTTTTCTATTATCGCCTTTCTCATCTTTTTCCTCCATTATATACTTTCCCCATCACCTTTTTTATCTGTCATCTCCTTTCCTTATCTTCTTTCTCTGTCTCTTTTCCTTATCCTCCCCTTTTCCCCATCATCCTCCTCCATTGTCCCTTTTCTCCATTATCTTCTTTCTCTATCCTCTTTTTATTTATACTTCCTCTTTATCAGTACCAGTCGACCATGACGAGCAGTACATTACACTGATGAAGTGGATGAAAGAACATGGATTTAACTGCAAGGGTTGTTGTCTGAAACCTGCTGTCTTTTCTGGTAAGCACAGTTGTAACACATGCATGATGCAATCATAGCATGTAGTAATTCAGATGGTTTTGAACTACATGTAGATATCACCTTACGTTCTAACGCTTCTACATAAGGACTATTCTTCTTCATAGAAATACTGGGCTCCACATTACCATTTTTTTCACATGAGGATTTTGATTATATGATGTGATCTACATAAATTGGGCCTCTGTTATCGAAAATGTTGATATTTTAGGGGGGGGGGGGATGTGCATGTGAAACAAATGTCAGTAAAACTTGTTCAGATAGATCCTCCTGTATCATTACTCAAAAATTAAGGTACAGTGTAATTTCGGAAATTAATCCAGTGCTATCCTTGCAAGCTTCTTCTAAAGAGCAATACCAATATACACACCATTCCTCCCTACCTATACAGATACCGGACGAGGCCTGATGACAAAAAAGAACTTGAGGGTAAGAAGTTGAACATGTATGTCTTTGAATATGAAGTCCATTTGTCCACCTCTAATGATAAACCCCTTATGAATGCTCTTGTTTCATGCTGTTCCCCAAATCTTGCCATCAGATTGCACAGGATAGCAAAAGTAAAGATGACTTCATACACACATGTAGTAGCTCTTTGAGTGGCAGATATAAAGAAACATTGTACAGCATGCTGCAGTGTAGACCCCCTCCAAATTCTCTTGTTTCATGCTCCAGAGACGCCAAGTTCAAAGATTGGCAATGCGTGACATTTACATGATTCAGCGTGCAAGCGCGTGTGCGAGGGTATAACACACGTATAAGGTATAGCATTTTTTCAAAATCTAGCGCGCGCGTCGTGCGTAAGAGCATTTTCAAACCCTCGAAATGCGTGATGTCACGCCTAATGCGTGATACTTGGTAGCTCTGCATGCTCTTCCCAAAATATTGCCATGAGATTACCCAAGATAGTAAACATTGGTATGCAATATTAATATGAATTCTAATTACACCATAACAAATGATGATTTCATACATTATAGCTCTTAAGACGTAGATTTTAAGAAAGATTGTTCTTTTCTTAATGTTTCATATCAGTGTATGACTGCAATACATGTATGAGGGCCATATCAGACCTTGTGCTGCAGTGTAAATGTTGTTTATACTTGTTTCCTCTTATAGCCTGGTGACTCCATAGTTGAGATTCCCCGTCATCTGCTTGTGACGGCCAAAGACATCTTGAACACTGAATTAGGACCAATTATAAAGAGGTATGGATTTTTTGGGTTGATATTTACCGATTTTGTCAGTCACAGCAGACGGTAGGTGTTGCATGAAAAAGTGCTGTTTACATCTACATTAATACTGCAGAGATGAGAACTCTTGTAAACTTGTAATTTATTATGTCACAGATTCTACAAGTAGATACTGATAATTGCTATAAGATTGGCCACCAAGTTAACATATCAGTGCCCCTATAGGCAGTTCATCACTCCCTCTCTCCCAAGAGAATAAAAGCTAAACTGAATGTTTCCTTCAGTAAAAATTATCTTTCTTTCTTAAATTTAAAGTAGGTCCTGTATATTGAATCTTGTTACGTGATACCACTGATTAAAGATAAACAATGGCAAAAATAGCCATAATAACAAACCAGAAATCACCAAGAAAACATTCATAGCAATTCACTAAAGAGGTTCATCTGATTGCTCATGTAATATACAATCATTTGTAGAAATACCCGTTTCGGTATGCTTTTGCTCGCCATGCTGCAAGGTTCTTCAGAACTTTGTCATAGATGGCGTTATTACTATTTTATTGTAGTACGGCAAGTGAAAGCTTACCGAAATGGGTAATTTTACTACTGATTGTGAAGAACTTAATTATCAAAATTTTCATGGGGCAATTCCACGGTAACGGAAGGACACTCAGACAAGATTTTTGAACTTCAGGTTCATACTAAAAGAACTGTTTTATTAGTATAAGATGTGAAACAGTACAGATATAATACCTATATAAGTGCCTTTAATTCTCCCCCAAAAATTGTCATTATAGTTAAGTAGTTTAAGAATGTGCATATTAATTATCTCGGTAACGGAAGGACATAAAAATGGACATGGTTTTTGCAGTTAATTAGTGTTTATCCAAACTTTGTGAAGTTGATGAAGCTTTCCACTTGACTGAAACACATTTTGTTCCCCATAGTTTAATACATACTAATAAAACATTTCTTTTAGTATGAACCTGAAGTTCAAAAATCTTGTCTGAGTGTCCTTCCGTTACCGTGGAATTGCCCCATGGCAAATTCAATCTCTCCAACTTTGCAGGCAGCGGCAGAAACCAACACCGTACCAAGTGGTTTGTGCTTTCCTCCTTACAGAGAGGTCAAAGGGCAAATCCTCTTTCTGGTATCCATACATCAATGTCCTGCCAAAGGACTTCACAACACCAGCGTTTGGCTCCACTAAACAAGCCGACTTCGATGTGCTTCCCACCATCGCACGGAGCCGAGCAATCAACCAATTGCAGGACATTCGGGCTGCCTTCGAGAGTGCTTCATGTCTGTTTGAAGACATTGAGAGAACTTTTCCTCAGTATCGCATTTTCTTCAGCTTGGACTCCTTCGTCTGGGCCTGGTTTGTCATTAACTCGAGGTCTGTCTACATTGAGCCTAGTGGCTGTGAGGCGTTTGATCCTAAAGCAAGCGATGACTTTGCACTAGCTCCATTTCTGGACTTGCTCAACCATTCCCCAGGAGCTGAGGTTTGTTGATATTTTGCAGAAACCTAATATTGTAATTCTGTACAAACTGTTGTATATATTTTACATTCAAAGTGGGAAAGTATGGTTAATTTTAAACATTTGGCTATGGAACTCTTTTGAAATGAGAGAATTCTGCAAGTAATTTATGAACAGTTTCAATTTTAATGACCAAAGAGATATAGAGAAAGAAATTATTATCTTGAATAAGATAATGTAAGTCAGACTAGCTGATGGTAGATTATTAATGAGAAAGCAATTTTTACCCTAATTAAATTTGCTCTTCCTGATTGCTTTCAGACCTCTGATAGCAAGTGTCTGTGTAGAGTATGAAATGCATAATCACATTATGATGCAATAATCAATGACTGATTAGCAATAAGATAAGATGTAAGAGCTATCCACTGATAAGGTATTGTTTCTTTGTTTTCCTCTCCACCAGGTTACTGCTGGATTCGACCCTGTATCTAATTGCTATCGGATCAAGACCCTAGACAGCTACCATGCCTATGACCAAGTCTTCATTCATTACGGTCCCCATGACAATGTTAACCTTCTCCTAGAGTATGGCTTCGTCATCCCATCCAACCCACATGATGCCGTTAGCTTTGAGCTAGGTGAGCCTCTCATAGAATTAATGTTTGTTCAAAGAGTTGGTTTGGCGTTTTAATGCCGGACCATCTTTAATATAAAGCAGTGTTTAACCCCTGATGAGGCCACCCCGGTCAATTACAAAGAATGTATTTATAACTAAATGATTGAAGACATAAATATCTGTACATGTAGGCCCCACACAAATTAATTAATGAGTTATTTGGAAATATAGAAATTACAGAACCAATCAATAAATGAAGGATCGAACAAATGATTTAATGTAATGAAGAAAGAAAGAAAGAAAGAGAGAAAAAGAAAGAGAAAAAGAAAGAAAGAAAGAAAAGGAAGGAAGGACAGGAAGGAAGGAAGGAAGGAAGGGAGGGAGGGAGGGAGGGAGGGAAGGAAGGAAGGAAGGAAGAAAGAAAGAAATTAGACAAAGAAAGGAAGAAATGAAAAACAGAATTATGTTTCATCATTTATGAAGATGATGTGAAAATTTTAATCAAGAACCTGACCATTTTGATGGTTGTACAAAGAGGATCAAAATTAATTGTTAACAATTTCTTTTGGAATAAATACAAGTTGTTTATTGTCCTTCGAATAACCTTGTTAATCCGCTTCTGCTTTACTTCACCAAAGCTTTGTTCCTATGTTTACCGCATGCATTCTTTCATCATGTCATATTCCTTTTTACATTCCTTTATATTAAAGGAGCTGTTGTAGACGCAGTAAAATCTCAACACGACAGCCCTCTTCCTTGCAGAAGAACCAGAGAAGTCAATGACCCGTGGGAATTCAAAGCCCATACATTGAAGTCTGCCAATCTAGATCTTGACTTGTCCTGTAGTATGTCAGGTCCCTCATGGAATCTTCAAACAGCACTTAGAATTCTCTGTATGGAGTACAATGAGATGTAAGTATGTAGTAAATACGACCCATCCAACCACAAGTTCTTTACCCAAATTGTGTTGCTTTCTGATTATCAATGTTTCCAGACTATTAAGGATATAACTTTAATCTAGCAATGGTATGATCATGTGCAATCACATGGAGATCAAATGCTTGATAGTTGGACTTGTTACGTTATGAGTCAGAGATCATTCAAACCATTTCACGTTTTTCTGGGATTGTATTGTGATGTACATATGGATAAAATTTAATTACAAAAAAAAAATTGTTTATGTAGAGTCAGGTACTATCTTGTTTGGATTAGTGGGCACTGAATTAATTGATTTTGCTGTATCCTGTTTTAACCTTTGACTACCCTTTTGTCAACATTTATTTCAAACCCATTTTCATAGGTGACTGGACGTCTTAACCTCTTTAATACAAATTGAATTCAGATTGATATTAAAACACAACATATCTTTAGACCTCAGTCATATTATCTCAATCATCATACTCAATATGTTAATGAATTATTCTTGATCTTTTCTCAGTGTGACTTGGAAGAGGGTGATAGCTGAGAATAACATCTCACCAGCTACCAAGAAACTGATCCCCTTGGCCTTGCATAAGCTCACCACTGATGGGCAAGAGCAGGCTCTCTCCATGCTCCAGGTAAATTCTCAAACTTTTGGCATTGTTAAATATTCCTTACTAGTCACTATTCCTTACTGCTGTTTGTCTAGTAATGTTTGTTATTTTAATATACTTTTATCTCTTTATTTTTGTATTTGTTTTTAAATTCAAGCTGTGGTTGTGCATTTTGCATGTACAGCTACATGTATTAAAGTAGGGATGATTTTCAATTCTCCTTCGTTTTCTTTTTTTCTTTTTTTCTTTCCATTTTAGTTGAGAGAAAAAAGTTTGCCAATGAAGATTAGAAAATTTAGCTACTGTTGGGGGATCTTCATCAAGAGAAAGTATGTTCTGTAACATGAAATGACTGGCAATGCATAGTATCTTAGTAAAATGGTAGAATCTATCACAAACTGATATAAATGCATTTACAATATACTTCTTGAATGTTTTTTTTTTACAGTTTGCTTACAATATTGAACTCTCCATTTGAGTATTAGAACTGTCTCTTTTTTCTTTTTCTTTCAGAAACTTGATGATGGAGTTTGCGAAGAGAACACTGATTATGTTGAAAATGTGAGAATGCTGTGGAAGGAAAGACTTGACATCCTCAGGGCCACACAAGTAGAGTTAGATCCCAATGGTTGATAGAGAAGGTGAGGAGAAGAAAGGGATCGATCTTGTACAGTGCGATATACTTGAAGGATGTAGAAAACGTTCTACATTGTTGGGGGTAAGACAGGCGGAGTGAGAACCTAATGGCTGAAGATGAAGAGGAGAAAGGATTGTCCAGGACCAGGTAGTCCTGGAAACTCCTCTGCCTGACAATCACAAATCAGAATATTAGAGAATGCTACAGGTTGTCTTGGTCAAAGCAATCCTTGTGTGATGGAGGAGAGAATTCACATCTTCATTCAGTATCTCTGAGGCAGAGGTGAGAAGGAGAAAGGGACTGTCTTTGACAAGGTGATCCTTCAGTGATGCAGGAGAGACCTAGATCTGTTCCTCAAGGATAGATATGCAGAGTCATACCCAGGGTTAAGGGATGAGGTAAAGAGGAGAAAGGCTTGTTTTGGACCAGGCAATCATTGAACGCTGCAGAAGAGACTTCAAATCCTGAGGGATAGACAAGCAGAGTTAGACCCCTGGGCAGCGTTTCATGAAACCATCATAAGTACAAGTTCACCGACATCCCATTGAAACGTGTGTTAAACCAATGGGATGTCAGTGAACTTGTACTTATGACGGTTTCATGAGACACTGCCCAGTAGTTGTGGGAACAGTGGGATGATGTGGAGAGGAGAAAGGATTGTCCAGGACCAGGTAGTCCTGGAAACTCTTCCGCCTAGAAATCATGAGTCAACCCATGAATACCGATGGAAAGGTTGCTCACCCTCAGAGTTAGACAGGCAGAATGAGAACCTAATGGTTGAGGGAGAAAGTAAGGAGCGCGTAGAGGTTGGCCAGGACAAAGGAGTCTTTGACAATTTTATGTTTTGGAATCCTCTATTACGAGACAAGAGATTGTAAGAAGAAAAGAAGAAGAACACAATGTTAGGAAGAGAAGAGGGGAGATGACTTGCTCTTGATATGACAAACGTGAAATGTCCATTAGCTTGGCAGCTTCATGTATGTCATCTTGCTATAAAATTCAAAAGAAGACTGCAAGGTAAAAGGGTGAAGGAACTGGCAGAGATGGATGAAGAGGAAGGTCCGTAACTTGGTTTACAATGGATATAGCAGAGAGGAGGAAGATACTGATAAGACTGACCATATTACATTATCTTATTCTTGTGCTGCTGTCAACCAAGACACACTGTTGGAGAGGTAAGGAAAGGTGGTGGAGATCAGAGTAGATCAATAACTGGCTGTACCAAGAGTCATTGTGCACAAGACACCTGTTTACAATTTTAAAGGGAAACAATCTCCAAAACAAAATCTTTTTGGTTGTTGATGTTTGCTTGAAATCGTACATGTCTACAATAAATTATGATAACACAAAAACACATGTAATAAATCCACAACTCATCACAGCATAGAGACATGCTTTAATTTGGCCTGCTGCAACAGGCTCAATGTCCTTTATTGGTCAGTTATTTTGTGCTTGTTTGTTAAAGGTAATACAATGTTTTGGTATGGGGTCATGAATTTGGATCAAATGAACATATTGGAAGTATATGCGATCCTACAATATTCAGTGATCGCTGTTGCGGTTGAAATCGAGTCTAAAGTTATGAAATTGTAAAAAAAAAAATTTTTAAAGCTTTTTTTGCCTTTATTCAGATCTTCATAATTATACAAAATGATGAATAGGAACACCATTGTTCTTACAGTATAAACATACATGTAGTACATTGTCTCATACATTATAAACACAGACATATTAAAAAAATATTTTCCATAAGTATCCAACCTTATATAGTACACATTCAAACAAGTGTACAGAATGTGCTCCAATTCCTTTAAAAAAGGAAAAGGTGATGGTAATACTTGGATACAACATTATAAAAAGGAACAATTTTTACAACATAATATGCAAATTAATTAGTTCAATATAAATTAAGCAATCTGAACAAAGATTTTCTTATATAAATAAAAAGTATAAGGTGAAGGTGCTGCTTCATATCCCATGATAACACAATTTGTTATATAATGATATGGTGCATTTTTCATTTTAACTATGTAAGGGTCTTGTATCAGTGGAGGTCTGTAACTACCGTGTGAGTCAAAAAAAAGTTTACCCCTAGAAAATTATTAATTATTTTTAAAGTCATCTATGAACAGTAATGTATTATACATCTTATGAAAGAGTGTTTTATCCCAAATCATTTGGTACCATTTTTGTGTGGTATGTTTTCACGCTTGGTTGAACAGGAGGCATTGTTTGCGAGAGTGCAAAAATCGACTTGCACCAAAGTGATGCCTACAGTATGTATTACGTTGGGATTAGCGGAGTGAGAGAATGAAATGAATGTATCAAATGAAATGCATTGCATGTGCATTTTGCAAAGGGCAAAGGCACACACACCCACACCCACACACACGCGCAAAAATGTTCATTGATATTTGATATTCGATATTTGATATGTGTGGCATGATTAATTTTGTTAGGGACGTTATTTGGATCTGCAAAGACCGAATTAATACCCTAATCCCAATTGTTTTATTCAAACATCACATAAGCAACTTTGGCGCAAGTCGTTTTTGCACTCTCGCAAACAATGCCTCCTGTTCATCCATGCGTGAACACATACCACACAAAAATGGTACCAAATGATTTGGGATAAAACATTCTTTCATAAGATATATAATAATTTACTGTTCATAGATGATTTTTAAAATGATTAGCAATTTTCTAGGTGTAAACTTTTTTTTGACACTGTATACCGTCTCTAGGTTGTATAGCTCCCTCTCAAGGTCAATATATTAATTAAGCTATAGAACAATGTTTCTTTACTAAAATCGACCGATTCGCTATTCCTGTTTGGAAATTATACATCACATCTACATATTCTTAGATTTTCATGGTCGCAGCTACCATTGTACGGCTGTAGGCGCTATTTGAAATTTATCAAAATTTACCGGGAGCACCAGTAAATTTTTATATTCAATTTTTCTCAAAAGCAGAAAATGTTTTAAGGGCTAAATTTTCGAATGCTTATAATACATCCACAGGGGCATCCAAATAAATCAAATTTCCCCAAACTTTGTATTACCTTTAAATGGTAGGACATCTGGCCTTCTGTTTTTTTTAAATGGGATTGCAGGTAAATGTACACGACAAGAAGTTCGTTAAGAGTTCATCAACGGCACTCATTGACCTTCAGTCAAATTTTTTGTTTTGTTTGTTAACAAACTTTGTTTGTTAACTATAAGTTGTTTCTTATAGTTAGACACCTTTGGTGTAACATTTCCCTGGGTATTCAAATGTACATGTACATGTATTTCTTAACTGCAATGTATTGATAAATAAAGAAAGAAGTTTCGGTGAAACATACAATGTAAATGGGTATCATTGAATTAAATCAGCATTTAATAAAATGATATGAATAAAAAAATAAAAAAAATGTTTTATTTACATTTTATTTTGTGAGTTACTATTGCTTCCCACTAAAACTGTTGTTGCTCCTGGCTTTGATGTTGTTATGAGGATAGATTAACCATGGCACATACATGTTTAATATACACATATACACTACATAAAATCTGAATGAAAATATTTGCTTGAAACACTTTTATTTTCCAACTTAGAATATAGGTGTATATTCTAAAGGCATTTATAATCTAGCTTATATTTAAACATAATAAAGTAGAATCAGTACTTATTTTTGAGTACTGTATCTACTCGAACTTTTAACAGCAAGAGGCATCACTTCTGGGTTTGTGAGTCGGACTGTCTGCCAGTGTTTTATTCTTCATCACTATATCGAGGGTTCAGTACGTGGCACAAAGACGTATCTCCACATTTTGCCAATTAAAAAGTATTTGATATCAAAATGTTCAGAAAAATGTGGGCTTTCCAGGAAACACAAAGACTGAACCCCACCCAACACCCCATTGAAGTCAATGGCTAGTGAAACGTAGACTTAACTCCTTAAGGCCTAAGTGCTCAGTGAGTGACACTTTTTCTCAAAATGGAGTTAGGTCTTTGTGTCCCTCGATATATACATGACACTGGTCAGGACATATACATGACACTGGTAAGGACATAAACAAGTTACATAACAGAATGCCTGATCTTATTTGTATGGCAGTTATTTCTGGAAACATTACATAGATACAACAGGTATAAACAGGTTTCATTTCAGGAAAGCTTTCATGAGAATTATTTGGCAAACATTGGAATGTTTAATGATTAACTACATATGTATTTCAGTTTGATTATTGCAAAAATATGATGAATGTCATACATATAACTTCTGAGGCAACTCTCAACTCCTAAGCCCATACAAAATTAAATATATTATTAAATTAAGAAATTTAATCGATACAAGCAATCAAATGGCACATTATAGCAATAATATTGGCAGCAGCAAGATTTAAAAGAACAAAGAAATGGCAAGGGTTAAAAAGGGCCTTTTAGAACATCTATTTGTCTGTAATAGATTATTTATAATAAATGCCAGTCATTCTCTCAAATTCTACAAACCTACATTTATAAACAAAAGCTTTCACATTGAGCAGCTTTTTGAGAACTGATGATATCATAAAAAATACATACATGTTTAATGAAAAGAAATGAAGACATACATGTAGTAAGAAAATCCTTACAAAAAAATAATGCAATTGTATTGCTATTCACAAACTGTTGAAATTATATGTACTTATATTCTCTTTACTCTTATTCTGACTAAGGATCACATTAACCCTAACGGTACTGGGGGGGGGGGGGGGGGACCTGGGAGGCCATGCCTCCACATTTTCAGAGATTGAGCCGCAATCGCTTGGAGTTTTAAATTGCCTTTTCATGACTTTTTTCCCTCAAGTCTTACGCACATTTTGAAACCATTTTCGTCGAAATCAGATATACCTGTAAGGTGTTACATAACAATGAGTATGCGCATGTTATCAAAAAGTGTTATAATTGCATATATTTATGTACTAGCAGAAATGAAAATACAGGTTAAGATGTATTTCTTCATAAGTGGAAGATATGAATTGATATCAAATTACTTTGATATGTTTCTCAAAGTAACTTCATGTATTCCAGCACAAAGAATACATAAGAAAATAAAATGATGAATTTCAAAACATTTTCCTTCAGATATGAGCAGTGATATGCAGATGGGTAGTGGAGAAAGATTATTCTACAGTGAAAAAAGTGGGTGAAATGATTGTTTTGGGCTTTGCTCACAGTGCTCAACATACTTTTAAAAAAAAAATTGCGTATTCATAATTTATGCAATATGCATTTTCAAATATCATAAAAATAATGAAACTTAATGAATTTGAAATGATTCAATACATTTCAAGATCCTTCACAAGTAGAGAGACCAATAAGAAGAGTTTTCTGTAAAATGCTTAAAATTAGCATTTTGCCTAATTAATTAGGCTATAACAACAAAAATGTGCATACTAGGAAAAAAATTAATAATACCTGCATCTTGTTCCTTACGCGGGTATCTACAAACATGCAATTTTTGTGTATGTCGGACATTCAATGGCCGAGATCATAGCCCCCCCCCCTCCCCCCACAAAGAAACGGAGATGCTCAAAAATAGCCTGGTACAGTATTAGAAATGGTTAAATAAAAATATTGTAACATTCAGGACAATTCACCTTTAGATCCAAGTGCACTAGTAGTGATTCAATTATAAAAATAAATAAAAAGTTATCTCTTTGTCAAAAAATCATAGATTACCCTTCTCTCTTTCTTTACTTTTCTTGCTCCTGTGGCAGATCCAGGATTCTCATGCTGCAGGGGTGGGGGGGGGGGGGGGGGGGGGGTAGTGTATATATGTCCAAAAACTTGGTGACACACGCGCAACAAAAATGAGGAAATAAAAAGGTTATCAGGATTATGGTGGGCCTATTTTGTATATAGCAATCTCTGACAAGAGGGGTCATCAGCCCATGTCTTTTCTTTCTCATTTCTTTTCCCTCTTTTTTTTTTGGGGGGGGGGGGGCGGCATGTGCCCTAAATGCCCCCTGAATTTGCCACTTTTCTTTCTGTCTGTCATTTTCTCTTCTTACAAGTACTTGTAAGTGATACACAATTAAAACTCAACCACGATATACATTGTACATAAGTTTATACAGCTGCTATTTTGTCTTCTTATCTGGTGATGGCACCAACATTTTTTCCAGGTTTCCAAAAGGAAACTCTATGGATACTGCCAGTAGGATCGCAGCAGTGTAGGCCAGAGTAATGATGGCTGCAACCTCAAATGCCTGCAAGACAAAACAAATAACATAATTATTTAATATCCATGGTCACATATTTCATGAACATTCCGACACTCTAGCAATTTTACATACATGTATACTACCGATCCATCCTTGAACAGTTATTTAATTATAGAGGTGCGATTGTTGGGTGGTTCAATACTTGATAGGGGATGCATATACTTATGGGTCCAATCCCTGGCACAGCACTTATCCTTAAGCAAGGTATTTTTTCTGTACATTGCTTCTCTCCACCCAGCTGTTAAAAATTGTATCCGGTAGGATGCAAAAGTAATTAGTTTAATTGCTCAGCATTTTGAATGCCGAGTGTCTGTAAAATGGTGCCTGATTGGAATGCTCCCCTGGGAGTGGAGAAGGTGCATACACTGTGTGCACTCTCAAGCCTCAATCAGATCGATGACTGGGGTTATAATTATTTCTGTATTAAACTTTCAGTTTTAGCCCATTGAATGAAGCTTTAAAGCCCCACTGCACTACTTATAGCTACTTGCGCCCTCTATATAGCAAACAATGCCCAATCGGTGCCTGTTGGTCCCCCATGATCCCCTTTTTCTTCTGTTATTTGAGAGCTGATTTGATGAGATAACCCCCTGTCAGTGACCTTGCAGGGAGGTCTAATACGCCCTGGCCAAACTAGTGCAGACAGGCTTGAATACGTGTCACATATTCAATGTGAAAGTACATATTACACTATACATGTCATTATACAAAATATTTTTTTTTAAAAGAAGAAAAAAATGATGTGGTTTTAATACCACTTCATATATCTGAACAAAGTTTAACGCTGAGTAACTTACAAGCATATAGATGGAGAAGAAGTAGTTGGTAGCAAAGTTGCTGATGTAGATCGTAATAATGATAGGATGTAGAAGATATGCAGAATAGGTCAGACGGCTCATTGGTATCCACAGCTCCCAACTCAGGAAGTCGTTGATCCAACCTAAATAGCGTAAGAGAACGGTGTACATTAGCCAATACACTGTACTACTTGTAGCTACTTGCTGCCTCTATATAAAAACAATGCCTAATCGGTAACCATTGGTCCCCATGATCCCCTTTTTCTTATGTTAATAGAGAACTGAGTTGATGAGATAGCAATCTGTCAGTGACCACCCTGGGTGGTCTAATCCCTCCTAGCCAAACTAGTACAGACGGCCTTAAAATTCCCATAATATGTGGATAATTTTGTTATACTTTTTCTAAATATCATTGTGGCATTAACTCAAGGCAGAATTCAAAGCACCACAAAGAAAACATTATCTCCACTTCCTCCTGAAGTTTGAAATGTGGTTTGTGGCATTGAATAATAATAATAATAATAATATTGGATTCTTATATAGCGCACCTATCGACATTGCAAGGTCCTCAAGGCGCTCCAACATTACCTGGCTATGCTAGGCTGCCGATTTCAACGCTCACAGCATTTAAAGGAATTCCTTCCTACCAGTACCCATTTAACACCTGGGTACATACAGCCTTGCAAATGGCAATACACGTTCAACAACAAAAACTTAAAGCGATCCGGTAACTTAATTTGTCTCAGCTTCTGAAACAAAAGCCTGGATTTAGCTCATGCTGTAATGATAATTATAAACCTTTAGGTCAGTCAGGAACCCCATGACTGTCTGATTATCAAGATATATATGATTGGAAATCGAAACCAAATTTTGTGTTTTCCTAACGATTTTCATAAGACTAGTCTATTGGGGAAAACAAGTATGGTAAAACCGGTCACTCAAAGATTGCTACTTTTTTGAGGCAAGTACTTCTTGATTATTTTGAAGCGCGATTTTTTAGGGCTTCAATATTATACAAATGATGCATGCGCATGAGTTCATTATATGATCTATCCGCACTCGAGTTGAGGCTGTGTGGATCTATCCAAGAAGCCATTAAGGACGAGTGCGATAGATACACACAGCATCAACGAGGGTGGATAGATCGTATCAAGAACGAATGAAAACATGCATCACTTGTTTTATACAACGAAACTCCTAGATCCTTGTTATTTGATGTAAAAAGAATTCATTCAAGATTGTTTCTCGTAACAGTATATGGCTGACAAATAAATCTCAAGTTTAATAAGGCTAAATTAGTGCGCACACATAGCTATAGATATAGCAAGCGCACTAATTACCTATATAACCATTTACGCATAGTGCTGCGCAAGAAAAGGCTCACGCTCTAACCTCTACGCGCACTACTGCGCTCTGAAAACGAGTTCAATAGTACGGGAAAATATTGCACTCCTTTTCATGAAAACGAGTGCAATAGGCTCAGTAAATGAATCACACGTGACCGCGCATGACCAAAGATTTGATTAGGATCTGTGAGTGAGTTGTATAGTACATCATATCACAGACAGTACTGTTAACATGTAGGGACGGGCATCTCAGATTTAACATTGCTAAACGATGCCTTTAACCTCTCTGTAGCAATTTTTATTAAATGATCAATTCACTCATTTGTAATAAGACCGTAGATACACATTTTATCAGGAATACGAAAGTGAGTATAAATACTAGCTACCATGTTGCCAATTTTATATAAAGAAGAAAAGCCCTTTCAGCTCTGGTCCTTGGATAGATTTGAAACTCACCTCCGTATCCATAGTGACAGGCAAACACGACCCAAGAGAGACTGACTGCCCAAGCGAACCGACACAGAGCCATGTAGACTGCATTCTCTGTTGGACTCAGTGGGTGGTTGTTGTAACCTCCATACAGCCCATACACACAGGCCATTCCGATGGCTGTAGCCGCACACCATCCTATAATCACAACAGACTATAACGGGAGGAGACACAAGGAAACGATTATTACAAAAATGAACTAACAAAAAAGAGCAATTTACATGTATTGGAAACACCACCAAAAAAGTTCTTTTCAGAAATTTACTAAAAGAATGCTGTAGTTCAATTTAACACTTGATATGATGATCTTCAGTTCTTTGTAGAAGTAGTTACGTTGATTTTATGTTGATCTACTTTGCCAAAATAATCAATGGCTTATCATTATGCTACTTTACTGCCAAATCTTATAGTTATCAATATAGTTACCATATATCGGTACATGTAATACTTATTGCAACTATTTTCTTTATCTCTTTAGTTCAATTATTTCTGAGTCAGGCTTTTTTAACCATTTGTTTTGCTTGGCATTTGTGAGATTTAATGTACCTAACTAATGAATCTATATCTGAATCAATTTTTACCCTGCACAAAAATCCAGGGAAATCATTTCATTTCAGCAACATTTTGTAAATGACTGGTATCGAATTATAAATAAACCATATTTGAATTTTATTGGGGGGGGGGGGGGGTTAACTGCCTCCCTTCCCCCCTCTCTCCCCCATCAGTATGCCAGGTGTTTAGTGCCTCACATAGTACAGTAATAATGCTTTCCAGCAAATAATAATTAAAGGCAATACAGTACTATAATTAAGTTATAGAGAACTTATCATACCGGATGCAATTTGAAACTCTGTTTCTTGATTCGAAGAAGAAGGTATCCCATTGCCATACCAACCATGTAAGGGAAGGCAACTTTATTATCACTCGCGTTCGTCCGGGTTCGGGACGCCTACTTATCTCTTAATCCCCCGTTCCCGGACGCGTATTGTACGCTGGCGGTCCCTTGGCGTCCCTTGCTCGCGTCTATTGTTGTTTGTTGGACAATAGAGCAGGCAGCCAGAAAAGAAGCCATCCCGTCCGCTAGGACCGCTGTCAATCAACCTCACCGCTATCCAGCCCCTCTCTAATCCTTACTAATCTGGCGTCCCCTGACAATAGCTGACCCGTCTAGAACGCGTTAATCTGGTGTTCCCTGACAATAAAGTTGCACACGTCTAGCTCGTGTTTAAAATACAAGATAGTAAATTTTCATAGATGAATTTTCAGTCTTGAAAGCAGAGCTAGAGCTGCAATCCTCCCGTGTTGATTGATAATAATTTGTCTAAAAAATGTGTCGCGCGCTAAAATAATAAACCTAACCAGCAACGCCTCAAGTCTTTCTACATACAGCCGCATATGAATAAAAGCTTCTTGTGCGACACTGCAAATATATAAATCATATTTAGTAGTGTCTGTATTCCCCCAACCTATTAATCAGTACTGCATTGCGTGTATCAGCAATTCGCGCAAATCAAAACATGTGGATAGCGGTCACGTGACCTAAAATGCGGTCACGTGATCTAAACCCTACAGCGCTGGTAAAGATACCACACACTCGAAGGCCCTCGAAGCAGGCCTGCCTCGAAGGGCGCTTGCGATAAGCGAAAAAACTCGTTACAAAATCTCTGATTTTTTTAATTTTAAGCGCTTTTTTTGGCGAAGCCGTTTTTTAAAACTTGGCTAAGCCACCGCGTGCTTTGGAAATATGGCTCCGATTCCGCACTTGTGACAGCAAAATTTGGCTTTTGGGGTGGATTTTTGGAAGTGACATCGGGATTTCCTTGTACTAGTGAGTGACGCTGTGTGTAGTGCAGTGCACTGATATGTAATTTGCGTGTGTTGTGGATGCTGGTTTGATATCACGATCGGATGCATGTGTGTATGCATGGCCTGGGGTAATGCGCACGTCTTTGAGTGGTGTACATCCCCTGTGTTGTGTGTATGCATACTATGCATACGCTCGTTCTCACAGCCAACCTGTAGCCACGTTCGCATAGCCATACTCAGAACTTACAATTTTAGCACAGCAAAACAAATACGTATTTTCCCTTAAAAAAACACGTATAAATACGTTAAAAACGTTCTGCTTGGCAGCTCTGTGAAGTCTGAGTTTTATCTAAAGTCACAGCAGAACATTCAGTGTTTTTACAAAATAAATATAGAAATAAAAATAAGGATTTACATTGCATGCATGTAGTCTACCTTACAAGTGAAGATGTAGATATGTAACTTTGCCCCCCTGTTTTACTTTTCCCTTTTGTTGATTTTTTTTATTCTATGCATAATCAGGCCTCTCGCCAAGAAATTAAAAAGGCGTGGCGCGACACGAGGGAAAATTTGACCCCGCCCCCCTGAAGAAAAAAAAATTATAAAAAATAATTAAAAAAACGTTTACAAGTATTAAGAGTAATTTGATTAATTGTTATCCCTGTATTATGTTCCGAGTCATTGTCATATTTACCCTTGCACTAAATAATCAATATTTATAGTATGTTGGAATTTGTGAAATTTGTTATCCAATGTTACGAAGAAAAAAAAATGTATATGATCATAGTTGTTTGGATTTTTATGGAGCTAGACCAAGTCATGTATTTAAAGCTGTAATTATTTTCCTTATATTAAAAACAATATTGCATTTTCTTATTTTCACAAAAATTGCAGTACTCAAATTTCTTCGTCTTTTACTTTATATTGGAGTAAAATAAATTCTCTGTCTCAAAATGACATATACACCCGTCGACTTCGAGACACCAAAGCAATTGATAGAAAGTCTGAAGAGCTGTCGACGTGTTTGTACGCCCGCGTCATTAACATGGCCAGTTCATATTTGTAATTTGCTGGAAATTGTTCTTTAAAAATGAGAAATTCACGAGTTTGAGTAGGATCTCACTATTTCATACTTATGTTAAAAATGATTGTTAAATATCATAATTTTGATTTTTTTTTTATTGCCCGATATGAAAATGCAGCCACAAATGAATTTGAAAATTTTGATTGACTGCATAGTTGCTTAGTAACCAGACATACTAGTCAGTTCATTCATGACTTATGAAGCCGCCTCTGAGCTAATGTAAACAAAAACAAAGCCATTTATGGGCCGAGTGAATGACCTCAAGTGAATGTGACAGAGAAGAGAGCGAGAGAGAGGTTTTCCCACGCTTATCTTTTCAGGGGGGGGGGGAGGGGATAACTTCACGAAACAGACAGCGCAATAGAGAGAGAGAGAAAGAGAGGGGAATGTCTGATGGAGAGCGCGCAAACATGAAAGGGCTTGGCCGCCAAGAAGGGATCGGAGCTGAACAAGGGGGAGACATTAGCATTTTGATAAGATCGGATTATGTCCGCATTATGTATCATCGACCAAGGCCACGTGATGAGTGATGGCTCACTCGTAGTTGGTAGTTGTAGTTGGTTTCTCAAATAAATAACAGATAGTAATGAAATGTCCAGAATGAGTGAAGTGAAGTTGTGGATCTATCTTTGCCTTCACGTTGGTTTTACTTTTCCCTTTTCAATGCATTTTCGTATTTATTTAGTCGCCCTTTTTACCTGCGGCTGCCATCTTTCCGTCTCCCGATCCTTTCTTTCTTCTTGAACTCTAATATTTCTTTATTTATATCTTCATCACCAGGCGCGTACGCAGTGAGGGGAGGGGGAACCCCCCCCCCCCCCTCATTTGTTTTTTGTGTGTGCTTATGGGTGACCAAAAAAACATCAAATCCTGGACACACAAAAAAAAATGTGCTCTTACCCCCCCCCCCCCCCCCCCGCCTGTCATTGCTAACTTTTCGGCGCAATTTAACCCCCCCCCCCCTGCGAAAAAATCCTGCGTACGCCCCTGTTCATCACTTACTTCGTCTAATTTTGCAATTCCATCTCTTAGATTTTTTTTTCAATGATTAATATGATAACGTTATTATATCGTTTTTTCAGACTTTCATTGAAATTAGAAATTTGAATTGTGTTCAAAACTGCGAATTCATTCTTCAATACATCTCCCGATTTCTTTATCTTGAAACTTAATTTTTTTTTTCTTCACCTACTTTATCTGCCCCCTCTAATTTTGTAATTCCACCTCTTTAAAATAATTTTTTTTTCTTTTTTTTTTCTTCAATTATTAAAATACAAACTTAATTTTATCATATATTTTTTTCTCGGAATTGCATTTAAATTGGGGAGGGTGTGCATTACCAAGGCGCGTAACGATGTTTAATATACGCGATGTTTTGGAACTTTGGTGTTGATTGACATGACTCGCCTCATTTCAGATAAGCAATCGACCTATACAGTGCGCCTCAGAAAACACGAAGCCGAGAATTGTCGATGTTTTATCATAACTTAATCATAGTTATAATTAATAAATGACACATATTGGTAAAGCTTAGATCCTCTTCAGTGATGCAACTCTTATGCATATTTCACGAATGAGCGATTAAAAAACAATTTGAAGACATGCAGGGTCCTATAGGTAAGGCATTAATCCTCATTACCAGGTCCCTCGGAGAGAACCTAAAGCCGTCGGCCGTCTGGTTGCTTTCTTAGCAGTCAGGTAAAATAACCACCACCACAGGGTATCAAAAAGTCATTTGGCGAACGGTATCTGAATTTCTAGAAAATTCACTTTCTGCCCTTTCATAAATTAAACCTCGATCAGCTCAATCAGAAAAAATGAGCCAGGAATAACAAATTTCTGTTTGTTTAAAGTAATGCTAGCACTTCCATAATTTGATTAAACGAATTCGTTTTCACTGGCTGCCTGCCGTAGCAACAAACAGAGTTATGGAAATAATGGAAATGCAAGCATTTATTTAAACAAACGGAACTTTGTTATTCCTGTACAAATATGTGTCATTTATTCATTATAATTTTGATCAAGTTATCATAAAACATCGATAATTCTCCGTTTCGTTTTTCTCATGGGACGCACTAGCTAAAGAAAGTGTTGATTAAAGAAAGAGAGATAGTACGTGGTAGAGAGAGATTAGAAAGGTGACTGGATGAGAGAGAGACAGTAAGAGGGCTAACAAAAAAAGGGGGGCGTAGAGAGGGCCTGGAGAGAAAGATAACAGATAAGAAAGGAAATTGTGTTGATTTGAGATACAGATGTATTACCCGAATTAAAAAGGAGTATTGTTGGATCTGTTTTTGTGATCATAACAAAAATTCTCCTCACCATTGTCCAGTCGCAACAACGACATACAAATAATGACAGATTTATTATGACATTCCCGCCACAAGTCGGCGCTCTCAGAACAAAGGCGTAGGCTGACAATCGTAAATATCGCGGTCTGTCTGAACTTGGGTGTTGATTACAACATTTCCAAGATACGGTTATCAATCCAACTTTCTAGTACTTCATTTGTGCCTATTCATTGTACCCACGAAAAGATCGATAGAAATGCCAGAATGTCTATTACCCTTCCCAGGGTTCAATGGGCGGCACAGGGTATGCAAATTATAAATTGTTCTAGCGCTGCTGGTCGCTACAACTACAAGGCGGCCACGGCCACGTATCACTCATTCAAAATCAGTTTTCATAAGACCAAACCTCCAAAATAGATGACATATAAAAAATACATAACAGTCTCGTAGAGTAAACATTTCAAAGAACAAAACATGCATGTCTACGTCCCTCTACCTCTCTCTCCCTCTCTCTCTCTCTCTCAACCTCAAACAACGGACCTCTGCATTGATTGCGATTCACACAGTTTTCATTTCATTTACATTTCATTTAAAATGGGGAAAGCCTTCCAATCGCTGGAAGGAAGGAATTTTACTGGCAAGGTGATTAAACGAGTTCTTGCCCCTCTTAGCGCGACAAATAGAAACCCTATTCCTCTCAAGAATTATGTAATATTATGTAAGATAATCCCCCCATTCTTGCCCCTTTCATTGGGGACCCGTTTGGGACGCTCGCGTTCTCTAAACAAAGGAGGGTACGCGATGAATGGAGAAGGTTTTAATCCCCCATACCTTACGCGTTAAGGACAGTCGCGTTCTGCTAACAAAGGAGGGGACGCGATCGTCCTGAACCCGGACGAACGCGAGTGATAATAAAGTTGCCTTCCCTAAGGTGCAATGCGGCAGTACGGCTTGTCATAGATCACTTCCTGAAAGGATTGATTTATATCTGCAGGTGGATTTGGATTAGACAAATCCCTGTGAAAACGCAAAAAAGAAGGAAATAATAACATATAAAATCAGGGTTCCTAGATACATGTATCTTATAAATAAAGGAAAACATTTTTTCCGATCAGAAAAGTCAGTAAAGTTCATTTTCAGTTTTCATATATTGCCTTACACATTGTCAGTTCTGTTTACAAGAAAAATAATTTATGATAATTATAATAACACATTGGTATTTTAAATAAACATCATAAGTACATGAAATATATAACATAAATTGTTTGCTTGTAGTTACTTTATGAATTGAGGACTTGGTGAAATTAGAAAAGAGAAAAATTTGAGAATATCACTCACATCAGCGAAAAGTCATGGAAAAATCATGGGAAATTCAGAGGATTTGAGTGGCTGCAAGAAAAGAAGACGTTCTCTTTTATTTTGTCCTGTGTTCAAACAGCATATCCACTAGATAAAGCTGTCTAAAACTGGATACAGGCCGAAATGATTATGGAATTTTTGTAATCCATCAGAAAAAGAAACAAAATCAGGGCAGTTTGATGAAGATGGAAACCCCTGTCACATCAACTGAATGTATCAACTTCACATTTTCAAATTCATAAATATTGACTTATACCCCAAATCAATGGCCCAGACCAAAACTGTGTATATAACCTTTTATTTGATATACTTACACAAAAAGAACAGAGAAGTTGTGTTTAGCCATGAGAACACCAGTAGTAATGGAGCTGACCACACAAATTACTAGCATACTAAGCAGTCCAAGCAATGGTAGTCTGTAATGATAAAACAACAGTAGGGAACAAATATTTTTACAATATTGTATACATATATATTTAAATATATATTCATTTATGTAGCTATAGTACAATAACTATATTAACTGTCTTCATTTTTTAGAATCTATGCACTGCACATGCATTTACATACAGTTTTCATTTGTCATTATGTTTATCAAGATCATAAGAATTAGTGAGAGAAAAACAAAAGAGAAGAGTAGAGTGAGATAGAGAGAGAGATAAAGAGGGGTGTAGAAGATTTAGGAAATGTAGTAGTAGTAGTAGGAGTAGCAGCAGAAGCACATGTAGTAGAAGAAGAGGCAGAAGAATAATAACGAGAGACAGACAAAGGGGAGGGGAAGGATAGACGAGAAAAAAGAGGAAATAGGGCATACAGTGTATACAAAGATATGAAACCAGATAGAACAAAAAAGAGATAAAAGAGGGGAGAGAATAAATGTAAATTGTAACTTACTTGTGTAGCATGATGAGCAGAAAAGGGCTGATGATAAAAAACTGCATATCATTAGCTAGATACCATACCCAAGCAATACACTGAAACAAATCAAAAGAGAAGTACATGTATAATCCATTGGTCAGGTACAGTCAAACCTGCTTTAGTGACCACCTGTCTACAAAGACCACCTGTCTACAAAGGCCACATTTGTTGTTTCCCTTGAAAATGGTTTCTCATTGAATCATGTACTAAAAGAACCTGTCTACAAAGACCACCTGTCTACAAAGACCACCTGTCTACAAAGGCCACTTTTTGTGTTTCCCTTGGGCGGTCACTATAGACAGGTTTGACTGTATATATACAAATCTAACTCCTAATCGCTAGCCTATAACGTTTGCTTTGTAACATGAGTAAACAAAGTTGAAAGAAGGTTGGAAGTGTATAGCAACAAGAGAATTATTGGTAAGTCGTCGGTGACTTTTTTTCTCCAATATCACCTTTATTGTGCAAAAAACAACAAATGTAATTCCAAATTAAGTCCACGTTACTTTTTTCATAGAATAATGTAAAGGGCAAAATAAAAATGGGCGGAAATAAAATGGGATAATAATAATATTAATAATAAAAACGTTGCTTATATAAAGCGCTTAATACCACCGAGGTCTCTAAGTGCTATGACAAACAAAATAGACTGATAAACAATTACATATTAAACAAAACAAAAAAGTGCAAATAAACCTACAAATTACAATCATGACATAGAAGGTTATACTTACATTATCTTGGTAGAAGTTATTGATGTAAAGCAGGTTGACCCACCAGTACTTGGAGCAGTACGGATCGGAGACCGTAGCCTGCCAGATAGGTCCGGAGCCAAGGTAAGGTTTCAGATGGAGCCAGATCAACATGGTCATACCTAGCGCTGGGGTTAGTCTGATGGGCAGAATTAAACACAATGACGATAACAAAATAATGCTTTTAGTTAGCACAGCTACAGGGCACGACACATATTTTTTCTAAGGAATTGTGTTTAGCCATGCCGAAAAATTAATAATAATACTAATGATAATACTGATGATGATGAACATAAAGATCAAAATAATGATGGTAAAGATAATACCGTAATGATAATGATGTTGGTGATGATGATGATGATGATAATAATAATAATAATGATAAAGATACTAATAATGATAATGATGATGAAGATGATAATAATAATAATACAAACAATGGCTTCTTATACAGCACTTTAACCTGTTACGCTGTGGCACTTATGGTGCTTGCATTATTAGCTTGAGCCGAGCTAGCATTAGATGCTTTGCTGGAAGCAATCAAGGAATTATTTCCAGCCAAGTACCCATTTACCTAACCAAATTTGAGACTGGCCAATCTACATGTAGATTAATGTCTTTCTAAAAGATGTTAGAGCTACAACTTATACGACTTCTATAACTTCGACTATAACGACCTATGCTATTACTCCAACTATCATTCCAATACTAAATGTAGTGTACAAATTCATTTACATAATACAAATCCTTACCTCCAGTATCGATGGAAATAAAACCAGAACCAAGGAAGCTTCCCTCCCGTCTTTGCCATTTTACCCAGAGCCATATAAGCCACCAACAAGCCGCTGTAAATGCAGTACATTCAAAACGTAAATTACATGAACATGAAAAAGATAGTGCAAACAATGTTGTGTAATTCAGAATTTCAAATATTAAATGTGTCTCCAACTGTACATTTGCTATAAGTGTTCATGGATCATTTCATTAAAAAGAAAAAAAACTGGATACTGTGTGGTGTCAAAAACTTCCTCGCTAAATGCCCCTAAAACAAACATATATGTATATACTGGCAGACATCACACAAAATGCACCCTTGTCATTAGATGTGAATATTTGAATAGTTATAATGTAATTAGTGACAATGGATCTCTTCAATGCAAAATGCTTTAACCACTTGTTATTTCATAATTGTTTGACAGTACTGGTGGACCCCCCCCCCTCCCCCCTCCCCCTCCCCCCCCCCCTCTTCCCCAGTCAGTGATGTGAACACCAAAGAAAGATTCCCTTTTTAGACCGATTAATGCAGTCATTTTTCATTTTGTTTAAACATGCATTCTTACCTGAGAAAGAAAAATGAATCAACTGAGAAAAATGCATTGGCCACTGCTTGGAACCCAAATCGACCAATGAAATCCAAGGCAACTGATGGATTCCCTGCAAAAAAATGAAAGAAAAAAAAAGAAAAAAATGAAAACTTGTAGGTTATATGTCATCAGACTATACATTTAATATCAAAGACCATAACACAAGCCGAGCTTAATCGTCATTTAAAGCCCCACTGCACAACTTATAGCTACTTGCGCCCTCTATATAGCAAACAATGCCTAATCTGTGACCATTGGTACCCCATGATCCTCTTTTTCTTATTAAGTGAGAGCTGATTTGATGAGATAACCACCTGTCAGTGACCATGCAGGAAGGTCTAATACCTCCTGTCCAAACTAGTGAAGATAGGCTTTAACTTCTTAAATATCAAGCCCAAGACAAAGAAGGCTGGAATCCCAGGAAAATGCATGTTACGCCATAATCATATTTCGTCCACAGGAACATTGATTTAACAGTTAATTAGTTTGCTTACCCACAACTCCTGCCATAAGAATAAAGAGTGGCACATGACCAAGGATGACCCAGGTCATACTGATGACCCGAATGCCGTTCAGACAGCTTATACCGCCCTCACTGGTCTTAGAAGACAGCAGTTTTGTGAGGTTGCGATGAACAGCAAAGCAGAGCAGGAACTGTTGCCATGCCCTGGTGCAAGCTGGTATAGAATAGAATAAGAAAACACACTCGAGTATATCATAATACATTGTCAATACTACAGAATACATACACCTGTACATGTTCATGTACTTGTAAGGTGCTGTAGTCTACATCACCAGACTGTGGATCACAAGGTACAGGGTTTGAATTTTTGCCATGGCACTAATGTCCTTTAGCAAGACATTAATCTAAATTTGCCACTCTCCACACAGGTGTATCGTAAAAGGGTACCTGGTAGGAAATTATTCCTTGAAGCTGGGCTAAACCAGTTATTAAAAGTAGTTTGTAGACACCTTGACCATCCCCTGGGATGGATACATCGTACAATATATATATAGTTATTATCAATAATATTATTATTTTCAATTTTAATATTACCATCATGATTCATACCTGCAAACATTTGAAAATAAGAATTAGGAATTTTTAGGACGGTATGCCTTTGAAAAAAAGAATTTGCACTTGCAGTGCGGCAGCCTAACTGGCAATACACAGTACATCTGTACCAAAAAGCGAATACAAATTTGCTCCCGATCATGCAGCCATTTAACGCACACAATACGTAAACTCTCAAATCGCTATAGCGCCCCCCCCCCCTCCAAAAAAAAAATCTACTACAGATTATTCCTAATGGTTGGCAAGTATGCATGAATATTACTATTATTATTACTCATTATTGTTACTATATAGTAGTCGAGGTATTATCATTATCATATCGTTCAAAATTCACCTGTCGGGACTTCCTCCAGATCTCGCGCCCCTTGGTCCTCCTCCTCCACCGCACCCCTATCATCACCTCCAGAGGGGCTTCTCACTCTCTGGTAGGGGTAAGAGTCTGATGTCCTGTTGATGACCAGCTTGTGGGTGCTGGGCGGGGCCTTGTAGTTTACTGAACGCAGGGTGGTGTCTAGGAAAGCCCCTAGGAGCATCAAACTTGCTAATAATCCAATAATCGCCCTAAATAGATACATAGAAGGATACCATTTTATACCTTTACAAATAAAATAAAATCAATATATTGAAATAGAATCCATAATTTTAGATTATCATTAGTGAGGAGGTGAGTTGGCTCAGTTGGTTAAGCGTCTGCTTGTCGAACCAAAGATCTCTGGTTTGAATCCCACCCAGGCGGATGACTGAACACTGCGTTGTATGTTAACGTGCCCCTTCCCTTCATTGATGAAGGCTATGTTAAGTGGAAAACACTCCGTCCCTCGGATAGGACGTTAAATGGAGGCCCCGTGTAGAGGAGAGTCACCACCTTTGCACGTTAAAGAACGCACTGCACTATTCGTAAAAGAGAAGGGGGAAACCCCGGTGTAGTGGTCCACCTGCACACCCCAGTATATACATCTGCAAGAATCTTCAGAATTGAAGGAGGTAGATTCTCCATAAGAGGAAGTATACAATTTTACCCAATAATTCTATCACCGCACAAAATATAAACAAGGATACCGTAAATCAAATCAAATCAATTTATTTGTTACAGGTTTGGGACAAACTGAAACTGATTAACATCTTCATTATCCTTATATTTACATATGTTTTCAATTATTTGTCTGTTCTGCTTAATACATTTTAACATCTATATCACAAGATTTGTTTTGGGATGTCATATTTTCAAGCATTTCACTTACAATGGCAGTTCTTCCGCAGATAATTTCACAAATATTGATGAAATACGATACATGTACTTTGACAATTTATATTTTAATGATTTTTCTATAATAAAAGTTCTGTATATTTGCTGATTTATGATCCATTGTTAGAAAGTACTTATTAGTATTATATGTTTGTTATGTTACCAAAAATTGTTTATATTTATATGGCCAAATACAGAAGAAAACATATATAATCAAATTGAATTCCCCAAGGTTTAGGGTGGAGAAAAGAGATTCTGCTTTTTTTATGGAGAAGATACAAGAAACCACAAAAAAATCAATAGAGACAAAATAAGATTTGAACTCACATTGTAACAATAAAACCGATACTGTTGTATGGAGCAGGGGGATCTTGAGCACAGACGACCGAAGAAGCATTGACAGCTGTAATGTTGAAAGGAGCTTCCACCAAAGCTGTAAAATATCAACAAGGTCACGGTCACAATGTCAAGAAATAACTGAATACTTTTCCTCTTCTTGATTAAAAGTAGCAGTGTAAGAAAAGAAGTAGGCCTACATGTAGTAGTAGTAGTAGTAGTATAGTAGTAATATAACTTTGTATTTGTATACATTGCACATTAATAATAATATTGATAATAAAAATATGATAATACTGATACAATTACTAATACTAATGCGTATATTTTTTATTAACACTAATGCTAATACTAATTGTTTGATCATAAAGAGTGATAGATGAGATTGATAGATTAGTTCTGTTGAACATATTTTAACATGTACAAAGTATATAAATTCAATAATAACATTAACAGGTGATAAGAATCTAAAAATATTGTATTAAAGACAAAATAGAAATACCCAAGAACTGAAAATAATGACGTAGCATTGTTGACCTAAACGAATACAATAAGACTGAAGTCCTAAGCCTAAAAGACTTACCAGTAGTAAGGAAAAGGACTGGAAGCGAGAAATAGAGTTCCTATAAAAGGCAATCCCTGCCTTTACTACTTGTTGAGATTAATACAGGTAATTGGTGTCGGTGTTAACTATGATAACGTGTTGGAGAAGTTGACTTATGTTTGTATTAATAAAGTATACAGTTAAACAATCCATCGTTTCATAACGTGTAATTAGTTGAGTCTCCATAGACTGATGTATATCATTAATAGAGTTCGGTCAAAATAGTCATTACAGTGTAATAAAAAGCAAAAAGTGAAGTATTGAGAGAGACAGTTGTGCTATGGAAGGAATATTTGGAGCTCATGAATTTTGATCTTTGATCGCAACACTTTGCAACTTTAAAAAAGGAACTGCTTTGATAGAAACTAAGAGTTTGGAAATAAAATGAAAATGATCTTACTCAGTAAGTCTTGTAGAGCATACAGTATGTCAGAGTCTGAGCAAGATTGTGGTACACACACTCCCCACATCAACTGAGTTTTCTGAAATGAGAAAGCAAAGATAACTATATTTTCATTTCATTTATCTATTTCCATGTCAGATTAAAACAATGATATATAATATTCAAAATAGAAACATATATAATGACATACTGAAGTAAGAGGATCATGAAAGGTACATAAATGGCCCATTTTGTAAGAGAACTTGCTGATGATGTCAATATCAAGTTAAAGGGAAAGTCCACCCCCAAAATAAGTTTGTTTCGATAGAGGCAGAATAATAAGAAAGTCAGGTGAATGAAAGTTTGAGCAAATTCTGAATGAAAATAAGAAAGTTATGAATTATTGAAGTTGTGATCAATCAAATACAAATTGGCAACTCTGTGACTTATTATACGAGCTCTCCTTCATTTGCTTTGTGCATAATATTCCATAAAATCATGTTTTCTTCGTTATTGATGACGGAATATATATTTGTTCCTTGCAGGGGGAGTATAGAAACATATTTGCAATTATTATATTTAGGGTGCATGTATGGTTGAAATTTTTCTTGAGGGAAAATGAAAATTTTAGATTTTTTTAGTACTGAGCAAATGGAAGTTGAGCTCGCATGATACGTCATAGAGTTGCCAATTTGTGTTTGATTGATCACAACTTCAAAAATCCTAACTTCCTTATTTTTAATCGGAATTTGCTCAAACTTTCACTCCTATTAAAACTAACTTAATTTCAGGGTGGACTTCCCCTTTAACTGCATGATAATGTAATCAGTGGCAAGACAAATCTTGTCATATGAAGTGGTGAAAGGCCAATTTTAAAGTCAGGTATCTAGCATTTGGCTGGCTGTATTCTGGAATCTGTGTCAGCATGTATTCATTAATGATTTATATCACAAACAGAAGCTGTTCTCTGAACTTTCATCTGTGCTGGTTGGTTATTTACTGACTTTTGTGAAAAAAAGAAGAAAAAAAATCATCATACTACAAATAAACCAACATCAAGAAAATGACCAACTTTTTATGCAAATATTTCTACAAGGGTTATATTTTACAAAATATTGCCAAGTTGAGAATTCAAACACATGCATGTAAGATCTGGCAATGCAAGTGCACACATGTAGTGTAAGAAGCCTGTAATTTTAATCATCCTGAAAACAACATCCAACAAAATGTCATGTATCTATATCATCCGTGAAAACAGCTGTACATGAAAACATTGGCAAGAGCGAAGGAGATGAAAATAAAAGTTATATATTAATTTTAAAATACTTACACCTGTAGGACTTGGAACACTAGAACTGTTCTGTGGTAATGTAAGCTGTAGGTATGACATGCAGAAATTAAAATCTGAGATGCTCATGCATTCATCATAGTGGCCCATCCATACTGCATTACCGGCCAGAAGACCCGACTCGGGCTTCCCAAAAGAGTCAACAACTGCAAGAAAAATATCAATAAAAGTCAGCCTTTGGAATACATGTATCTAGATCATATATTTTATTCTGATAAAAAAAAAATGTAGTATGCACTGTGTCAATATTAGATTTTTTTTTTAATATTAAGAGGAAATTAAAAATATTTGAGAGCAAATCATTTCAAAGATGTAGCAGACATTAAGTCTGATTCTTGCATGAGATGCCAGATCATCTGCCTTGTTGCGGTTTATGTAGATGAGGAAACAGTGCATGGACATTAATTCATCTCATTGGGCTAGGTAACTGAAGAAGCACTCAGTTTCAAAGCCTAAACCTCCCAGTTACAGGACCACTAGCTGCTATACCTACCACCAATTCTCAAATTTGGGGAAACCCTGGTGTAGTGGTCCACCTGCACACCACAGTATATACATCTGCAAGAATCTTCAGTATTGAAGGAGGCAGATTATCCAGAAGAATTGTGCAATTTTACAGAATAATTCTATCATCACACAAAATACAAACAAGGATACCTTAAACCAAATCATATCAATTTATTTGTTACAGGTTTGGAACAAACTGAAACTAATCAATATCATCATTATCTTCTTTCAATTATTTGAAGAAGAAGAAGAAGAAGAAGAAGAAGAAGAGGAAGAGGAAGAGGAAGAGGAAGAGGAAGAGGAAGAGGAAGAGGAAGAGGAAGAGGAAGAGGAAGAGGAAGAGGAAGAGGAAGAGGAAGAGGAAGAGGAAGAGGAAGAATTCATATCAACTTGCTCACCCTGAATCAGTTCACCGGTCTCTGTTGCCATGAGGTCAGCCAGGTCAGCCTCACACTTGCTAGATACTTCACCCTGGACATGGGGTGTCATGGGAGGGCATCCTGCAGTGGCCATCTTCAGTATCATGTCAGGGGTCATGAACCCAGAGGTCACTTGAATACATAATGAGGTAACGATGAAAAGGGTGTGTATACCCACTTTTTGACTACATGATGAGCGTGGCTCGAAGAACCGCTTGTTGCAGACTAAACGTATCATAGTAGAATTGTGTGGTATTAGACCTGGAGGTTAAGAATACATTTAAAACAGTAATAATTAAGAAATCTTATGCAGATTCCTGTTAGTGTCAGATGGACCCATCCATGTATATGTGACTGTCTATAAATGGTTGATCACAGCGTGGCTCAGCACGATAGTTAAATAGTCACTGATTTTAAAAAGACTTCCATTTATGAAATATTTCAATATGTTAGAGCTGATTGGGTTGTGGACTATTTTCAGAGAAGCATCTTTCCCTAATAAGTAAAACAAAAACAAAAAATGAAATGTGGATCTACACTGTGAAATTACTGACGTTCAATTATCAATAATTGCTTCCTCTGGTTTATTGAAACACAAATAATTCTTCTAAGAAATATAATTAAAGTTGTATAATTGTTTGCAAATGGTTTATATTAAAGATAAAGACCAGTTATATGCGATTGCATTGTGAAAGAAACATTGTGGAATCGATCAGAAACGGTTGATCATCCAGCATATAAGTATTGGTGTGTACTGCAAGGTTCTGGAATCATCACTCTGATAAGAAATTTGGCCCAGTCTTGGTAAATTAAGTTACAATTAAGCACTGTACACAGACAGATGTACATGGGACTATGCGACACGTGCGCGATATCTATCAGGTCCAAATAGATATAATAATTTACCAAATATATCAATTAGTAGGCGGTTTCTCGGCAAAATTTGTATCATCACGTATTAGTCAAAACATATTCTTTCACAGGATTGTTAATAAGCTTCCATTTCATTATTTGAGAGGGGGGCATTTCCAAAACTGGTCTTTACCTTTAAACAGTTCATCTGAAACTTTGCTAAAAGTTTGCTAGAGCTCACTCAGTTTAATGATGAAACTTGATATTTAAATACCACATGAAAGGAAATTTGTCTATTTTTTATACATGACAAGACATTTTCATAAATCACAACAGAGTTTTAGGGATCCTTTGATCTTCTTTAATAATCTTCTTATTTTTCTTCTCCTTCAACTTTTCCTTCAACAGTGTCAACAGTTAAAGACGCATAGCTGGCTCGCATGTACCGAGGTCTTGTCTAAAGTCTATTGTTATTTCCCAGCTTAAGAGTACAACAAAGCCTGAAGTTACTGAACAGTGAAGTCAAACATTATCTATCCCTTTTTCTTTAAAATTTAGGCTGCTACTAGCTAGGAGTCGGCCTACTATATACACATTTCCTCTTGCCTTCAGATTTGGGGAGGGAATTATTTGATAACACGTAGACTTGATGATCTATGCAGACATGAAACTCCTGAAACTTAAAAAAGCAGAACAAAAATATTATGGTTTCCAGAGGCTTTCCACTCCTAGTCCCGGCCCCCCCCCCACTCAGTGTTATTTAGGGTACGCATATGCGTGTTCCAGGCGACCCCCCTTTTCAGCAAAAGTCTGGTGTGTAAAGTCAATACGGGTCAACCTTTTTCTTTTGTTACGAGCCGGAGAGTTTTGTAACACGCATGGTATCCCTCCGTTCACGGAGTGGGGGGGGGGGGGGGGGGGGGGGGGCCGGGCTCACAATGCATGGCAATGGGGTCTAACACTCGGTACCAGTAAATGTTTTTCATTGATTCTATTTCTATAAATCATCTGCTAGTGTTTAATAGACAAGAGTAGGCCTAGAGTAGAATAGAAATTAGATCTACTAGAACAAAATTGAGATGGCAACAAACAAAACGATGTAGACCTGGAAACTATATTGCAGGAAGGAATGATTGCATTCTTCCATTAGGTCCGATAGTAATAGCTAGGGTATAAAGAGAGTAGACTACCATATAAAGGTCACATAGTCATATCGACTGTCTCATGATAGGGAGGCCAATGCCAAAATCTAACTTTTTAATTACTAATTTGTTTATAATAAAACAAAGATTAAAAGAAAGTATTTTCTTTCACTAAGAAAATTCACCCATCTGCCGACTCCAGAAGTTCCATCAAATAGGAGATATCCAGCTCTTTTGTAGACCCTTCCTTCTACGCCTATCCGTACGCAAGAGCCTTGAAACAATTATATTTCATGTCGCAAAATTACGTTCATAATTAGACAGGCCCGAGGGGATGGGGCGTGTCATTGCCCGGACAACAAGTTCAAAACTTCACGCGAAAATTCCATTCATCATCAGCGGCTAGCCTTGAATTGGTCGCACACACCGACACAGCTTGGTGATTGCATTGCAAGCCGCAGTCCTGAAATCGAGCCATGGAGGGACAAAACATGAACAGACAGAAAAAATAAACGTAGTTCTACATGATTGTAGTCAATATAATCCTAGAAAAGAATTAAAATTAATAACTAGGCCTACCTTAAGGTGGTATTCCAAATCCAATATTATTTTCTCATGAGTAAAGATCAATCTGACACTGCATTATCAACGATAGAGAAGTTACGAGGTCCAATTAACATCCATCTTGCAGCGAACACAATACGGAATCAGCATGCAACGTACGTTCGCAGACGTGTACTATATTATTTCTCTCTCTCTCTCTCGCTATAGATCCTATACATAACGTACGGTACTCACTAACCATGTATCATACACAAAACACACACCTTCAAATCATGGCTTTCATTCCAATTCTCAATTGGAGTATAGACTGCTCACATAGACTTTTTTTTTTACTGAAATATCTTTTTTAACACTTCTTATACATTACTGCACGACACTCGTATCTAGTGCTGTGAGAATAAGGTACTATAAGTAAGACTACGCTTGGAGCACGATCTGACTGGAGCTCAGACATATGTCGCAATACCCTTTTTTTTTGGCGCGAACAATGACGTCACTGTTCACAGTTTTCCTTCTCATTTTGAGATGGATGTAGCTATAGGGCTCAAACCAACGCAAGATTGACAGAAACATCATATTCTATCTACCTTTGAATGTTCAGTTTGTAAAAATCTGTATTTAAAAAGATATAATCTTTTTTCTTTATATTTTCTAGTTGTTAGAAGTGGCAATTGTGAACATCTGAAATGTTAATCTCTATCAAAAGTCCTTTACTCAAAACGGATCCCATATTTTTAGGGTCTACCTTCTGCCAATTAATAAGAAGGTTTTTAGTGAGCAAACTTCTACGCCCTCTAGGATTTTCTTAGTCGGTGGTGCGTGTGCGTCATGTAGCTTTTGCTACGACAATTATTGGATTCAAATACATCAAAATCTGCAAGATCGTCAACAAATGGTGAAAGACCGTTACAGATCCGTGATTATAGGTATGTTTTGAAATGTATTATTGTAGACCCTATTTTATTTTCTTATTTTCATCAATTTTTATTTTTACATTATTATGTTCTGTCAATGTTCAAGGTTGATGTTCAGCCAAATAAAGATGACAAATAAAGACGTATTCGTAACTTTAAAACTACATGGTGGTAGCATGGACTTTATTCGATGAAGGCATCGATGGAAACTACGCGCGGTACATTGGGCAATGCGTATACATAAAATGACAAGTCAAGACATGAATAGTCTTAATTTCAGACGTCATACATAACATTCCTCCCCCTTTTAGTGAATTACATGGGTACATCAAAATGAAATACATGTATCAAACTGGCATGCAGACTAGGGCAGAACTATATAACAATATGGTCTTATTTTCTCAAAAAATGTTTGTATAGAGATGTGACACTGGCAAGATAGGAATGTACTCACACTAGGCTTGGGAGCGAGAGCCGAGTACCCGACTCTAACCGATTCTGAAATCCAGAACCGAGGAGTCGACTCCAATCTCTAGAGAGTCGATTACTCGAGCACGTTGGTTCCGAGAAAAGGAGACTCGGTTCCAAGATAAGAACCGAGTCTTTGGCGCTGGAGTCGACTCCACAGCACCAAAATTCAAAGAGATACTTTGCAAAAGTGAACGAAGGAACATTGCCTGAACGAACTGGTGTCGATTCCACAGCACAGAGAATGAACAAAATCAGCTCTGTCAAAGCAGAATGCATGCGAGCGATGGGCGCACTAGCAGCATGCTGTTTTGATACACACATTTGTGTGTGTCCCTCCTTCGTAGTACTGTGCATCAGAGTGAGATGTGTGTGCTATGCGATGTGTATAGCACTGCTGCATGTTGTCTGTAACTGCCCCCCCCCCCCCCCCCAGCTGAACGTTTGACCTTTGGTAAATTGCGCAAGAGTCTTGGAACAATGGCCCCATTTTCTCTCCTCTTGGAGCGTGTGATCAAGTTGATTCATGTTTTCTCTCGTGCGCAAACTGATTTATGTGACTTTGTTTTTGCTCTCTCTCTCTCTCTCTATCCCTAGTCTTCCCTTCCCCTAGACATCAGACGTTTAGTTTTCTTCCTCAAATAAACTAAATCACACAACTCACAATTTCCTCCTCCTTTCTCTCCCTTGAATTCTCCTCATCAAGTTTTATTCTTCTTAAAAATAAATTTGACAGGTCTACAATTTACATGTACATTCCCCCACCCCCTATATCTTATTTCCTTCAGTTATTTTGTTTTCCTTACAAGAATAAATGTGGCAGGTCAACATCTCCCCTTCTCCCTTTCTCTCCCCCTCTAGCATCCCCTTCTGTTATTATTTTTGTCTCAAGAATAAGTTTTGCAGATCTACATCTCTCTGTCTTGTGTTCTTTTTGGGGGTATTTAAACAAATAAGAATAATTCAGGCAAGTCAAGTGTCCCCTCTCGCTGTGGCATCTCTAATAGTGGCTGAAAATGCAGACTAGTTATTCTGAAACCAAGATCTAGCGCTGTTATCTGTTGTTTAGAAAGCACGTGGTTAGTAGTAACCATGGGAATGGAGTGCCACCGAGCTGGGGCTGGGGTCATTAAAGTTTTTGGGTGGCATTGGGCGGGCGGGCGGCCATGTGAGCATGAGTTATTGACACTTAGCTCTCAGATAAAGGTTGGGCCCTGGGAGGAGAGCCAGCGGACCAGGCATGTTTCGGATACATTCCATTTATTTTAGGCAGGGAATCAGAATCTTTAGTTTTACATAATGGATTGTTTACCGTAATATT